TTGACGCACTGGAAGGAAAAACAGCGTAAGTATCCCTCCAGAGCATGACAGGCAGACGTCTCCACACAACTGTCCTCGTTTTGCCGAGCCAACGTCAAAGCAATTTTGAGCGCAAGTGGTGCCGACTCCTTGGCGGTTTCACCTTCGTGGAGCATGGAACACTCGCGACGGTCCTGCGCGTTCCAGAACTCCTGCACACCGCGCAGCAGCTCTAACTTTCGAATCGTGTTTGGGTCGTGCTGATGGTTCTTTTCATCAAATCCATCGTCATCGTCGGATACTCCATGGTAAGCGGCGTGGCGAATAAATGCCTCGGTGTCCTCACCCAACTGCGCCGCAACAAGGAATCGCTCCCACTGATTTTTATTGCTACCATTGCTCTTTTTGTTCCGGCTTGTGTTCTTCTGCTGCACCTCACCTGGTTCACCGCTTTTCACCTCGCCCTCCTCCTCGTCCTCCTCACTCCTTTCTTGTCCTCCTCTTTCCGCACTCACCCCCTCCCCACTGGACTCGGCTGGCTCCAAGAAGCGCGGGAGCTGGCGAAGCTCCAGCGACCGCTGTAACTGCTCCATGTACGGTAAAAAGGAGTGAGGATGTGCTCGTGAATCAAAGGCAGAGTCATAAAATCGGCTTGCGGCATTGATCCAGTGACAATCCCGTAGCTTGCACCAGACGTCCCCAAAGAAGAATGTGGATAGCATGAGGTTTAGTACAAACAGAATCTCACTTTGCGCCCCCACAATAACCTGCGGGCCGTAGGATACACTGGGGTCCTTCAGCACCGGGGCGAGAAACTGCCAAAAGGCGCGACTCTCCTTTCGAAACGCTTCGTATGACTTACTGTCCGTTACCGGCCCAAACCCACATAGAAGTGGACAATTGTCATCCACTTCCTCACGCAGTGTCAAGTCACGCATCCGCCACCGTTGTTTTGCGTCAGCGCATCCGACAAACCAGCTGAAGTCTACATTTGAGCCAACCGTCGCGATAGAGGCGGCGGAGGTGGTGTCTTCGTCCGGCCACATGCCCATCATGGCACCTAATGCCTGCGGAGGCGGTGTGCCCCCGGCGTCTTCTATGAGCTCTTCCACGCCGTAGCCGCGTCCTCCGACCCAATCGAAACGAGTCGCGGGATCACTGTTGTTGCTGTTGCTGGTGCCACTGCCATTGCTGTTGCGGCCCAAAGCCCGCGAAGCGACCAACCCCAGCTGCCCAAAATCCAAGCCGCCAAAAGGGTTGTTTGCTGGAAAACCACCACCCAATGACGGTAAGGCCGCAATCGCGGTGGTGGACAACTCCT